TAGAATAGATCTTGATATATAGTGAGTGCTTAAGAAGTGTCAGTTACTATTATTTCACTGGACTATTGTTAGAATTAAATGAGACAATTGATGTAAAATCCTCAGCATGGTGGTTGGCCTGTAGTAAGTATTCAGTAGATATTAGCTTTGATACTATTGTTACATTTAACAGGATGAAGAGACTTTGTGGGAAAGAAAATGGTCATAATTATTGTCAAATATTTAAAAGTTATGAGGAAACATTATAATGATGTCTACTTTTTAAAGATGTAGAAACTGAGGTTTAAAGAGGTTAAGTCTTTTTGAGAGGTCAGGCATCTAGAAAGTGATGGGAACAGATTAAACAAAAAGGAAGCCCGACTGCAGAATCTGTGCCTTTAAAACCATCATCCTTAAGCTTCTGGTCCTGAACTAGGCAGTGTGGGGGACATTTTGATCTGGTAGTGAAAACAAACATAGAATTTGAATTCACACAGTCCTGGTTCCCATCCTGGTTTTACCACTTACCTGGGCAGGATATCCAATCCTTCAGAGGTTATGTTTCCTTATCTGTAAGATGGGGACAATAATACCTCCTTTGTATGATTGTGGTGGGAATTAAGAGGTAACATAAGTAAAGCTCCCAGCACAAGCGCTGGCCTTTGTAGGTATTCAATACATTTTTTATTTCTTCTTCTTTCTCTCCCTCTTGAAAATTTGAACTAAATTTTATACTTTTTTTAGTGTGTTTAATTAGTCTGTGATGTGAATTAAAATGCAAGGTTGAGACCAGAGAGGCTGCTTGTAAGAATCAGTGTTGCATTGACCTGACTTTGTGTTATAAATAACCAAACATGACTGGTATTTGTGACATGTGAACACCTGGCACAACTTATTCATGGCCACTGTCAAAGTGGTGTTTCTAATTAGGTGGAGTTCTTTCTACAAGCCGTGGCATGTTCCAGTGGGGAAAGTCTTTTGCCAAGCAGGTGGGGTGAGTAAAGAATTTAAGATTGCAAATATAGTCTGAGTTGAGGATCCAGTTGTGCATGTGGGGAGCGGAGAATGCCTGGATTCTGAGCAGCCATTTCGGTGAGCCTTCTGAAGGTCATAGCTCTCTTTGACAAGCACGCCACTAGAATTTTCCTTGGATTGTTTTATTTTAGTCTTTGGACTGAATTGGTGATGACACAATTTGTGGTTGAAAATAGCATGAACAATTAGGTTAGAGGCAACATTAATGTCCCAAGATGTTAATACAGCCAGCTAGCAGACTGGAAGTCCCTTCCCAAACTTGAATCCTCAATAGGTACAAGTTCTATATGTTTCAACAGCCAGTAAGAGAAAACATCAGCCTCTTGCACATGTTGTAACCTTCAAGTAGGCAGTACACAGGCTGCAGTTTCCTTTTCTTCCTTTTAAAATTTTAATCAAGACGTGTTACCTTACACAGAGTGGATGAGGCCCTGCAGCTTCACTGCTCCCTCCGAGGGGCAACTGCTGACGAGTGCAGCCAGCACGACAGCGCCTTGAGTTTCCAAGTGCTCTCCTATTCTGTTTCCCACCTGGCTCTCATTTCAAAGACTCTACATAATACAAGTCTATCCCGTTTCATGGGGCTAATTTAGGAGTAAAATTATTTCCTAAATTTGTCCTGGGTAATAATTTGAATCAACATATTTTAAATATTTCACATCTGTGGTAGAATGAAAGTACTTGGTCATTAAGAAGAAAACATTCAAAATAGCAACATAAGAAAAATGTTGAGTGATTTTATCAGAGATTAGATTAAGTAATAGAACTCTGAACTTAGTCTAAGTTCAAATCCTGGCTCAGCCACCTTGGGCAGGCTACTTGTCTGAGCATCATAGGACAATCATGAGGATAAAATGAGAGAATATCTATAAAGCCATGATATAGTGCCTGGCATAGAACATCTCTCAATAAGTGTAAGCTATTTTTATTATTGTTAACATCAGTATTACAAAGGTTGGAGTCTCTAAGAGGGAGATGAGATGGCTTTTAAAAAGCCACTAAACTTGAAGCTGACTAAGCATATCCTTTTGAAGAAATGTGCTTACCTGAAAAGAAAATGGTTGTATGGAGAGCCTTGGACTTTTTGTGTCCTTTGAATGGCTAGGAGAACCACAGAGGAGAAAAGGAGTGGGAAAGGTTGGCTGATAGTATTGTCATCTCTATAATTCTACGCTTATCATTCACTGAAAAGATTACACCATGTTCAAATACCTGCTTCTTCAAGATATCTTTGGGGATTCCAACTATCTTTTCATCCATCCATCCTCTCATCATTCACCTCTCATCATTCATCAGCATTTATTGATCATCTACTATATTTCAAGAACTAAGAATTTTGCTGAGGCTACAAGTTTCATCCCTAAGGCATTTATTGACTCTTAATCGGAGACAGATATGAAAACATATTATTTTAAGGCATTTACCAACTACTTGGGGAGACATGTGAAAACAAATGGTTTTATGGCATTTACCAACAAGTAGGGAAGACAGATATAACAAGTGGTTTAAAAAGCAATAATAGAGGAGCCTTGGCAGGTGTTGCTCCGTGGTTGGAATGTTGGCCTGTGTATCAAAGGGTCTTGAGTTCAATTCCTGATGAAGGGTAAATGCCTGGGTTGCAGGTTTGATCCCCAGCCCCAGTCAGGGCACATGTGGGAGGCAACAAATCAATGTGTCTCTCTCACATTAATGTTTCTCTCTCCTCCTCCCTCCCTTCCACTCTTTCTAATAATCAGTTGAAAAAATATCTTCAGGTGAGGATTAACAAAAAATAAAAAAATAAATGGAAAAAAAAATAGGGGAACATATAATACCAGGGAACTCCAAGGAATATATTATCTTCATTTGGCTTATACTTAATTCTAATACATTTGAAAATATTGATATATCATTGTAGTACTGACAATTTTTGAGAGGGGGAGAAAAAGAGAGATACTTCCACTTTAAATGTACTCATCTATTATATGAAACATTCTGACGTCAGAAATTAGAATGGTTGAAAACTTTGTACCTTGCCCTTAAGACAATACAGACATTGGAAAACAGGGTTCTGAAGGAATATCTCAGAACAATGTTCCAATGTACCTTTCTATTGAGAGGCATGTGAAGATTTAGGGAAGGTCTTGCTGGGATTTAGCTTTTCCAAGTAGCAAAGATGGCAATTCCTGATGGGTGAGGATTCAAAACGTGGCACAAAGGAGGTTGGTAATTAAATATGAAGCTAGGGGTAGGTGGAGCCTTTAGTGATGGGCCTGAATTCTCCACTTTCTCACTCATAGTGAGAGTTTTAGAGGTGGAAAGAAGAAGCTCAGACCTTGTCTTAGGCCCTTCCCTCTGTCCTCTAAACAAGGGGGCTCTGAGCCCCAATTTAGGAAGTCAGTGACTCAGAAAGGAGTCATTGATTAAAAGCCTTCCCCTGTGGAGAGGCTTGGAAAAGCCAAGGTTCAAAGTCTTTGAGATGAACCAACCTCTGAGCTCCTACTGGGAGGTCATCAGTGCCAGAGGGTCATATATGGTTATTTTTGAAAGATACATCCTTGTTGACTTCAGAGTAAATAAAACTTCAAAGGTGATAATCCAGCACTTATAGAGATGGCTGTGTCCTTATGAACTGTGGACAGAAGGTAAAACAGGAAGGAGACAGGTAACTTTCTGGACAGCAGATTACGAGTGTGTTGTTGATTTCAGTGTAACTATGGCATCAATGAAAAGGTCTCAAGTCTTCTGAAGAATGAGAAGCTCCACAACTTAGTGGAGAAAACAGGAACTTTGGGTAAATGAGCCTATTAATACCATGAAAACAGTATTTACCTTGGTGGTTTTTGTAAATAATAAATTATGTGATGTGACCCAAAATAATGCCTGGCAAGAAAATAATTTACTTTTAGGGTCTCCCTGCTTGATATGGCAGCCAATCATTAAATAATTCTTCAGTGATTCATTCTCAGGGCATAATAATAATGAATCTTTATTGAATGTTTACTTATATGCCAGATTATACTGATTCCTTTAGACATGCTTTTTCATTCACTCCTTATATTAAGCCTTTGGGGATAATAGCATTATCCTTATTTTATGGATGGATAAGACAACTGAGGCTCAGAAGGTTCAGTAATTTATCCAAGTTCAGAGTTAGTATCAGAACTAGGATTCCCTCCTAGGTGGTATGACTCAAGTACATGTGTCTAGCCACAGTGCTATGACATATGTGAACTTGGTAAGTGAGAACACCCAGAAAGAACTGTGGCATTCTCTCCTGCACTTGTGAGGACCACTGCAGGCTCTGATCAAATGAGCACTGAATGGGACAGGGTACCATTCTGGCATCTGATGGGTTTATAGGTTTGTGAACATTAGGCACAGAATTCTAGGCAATAAATTAGGATTTCCGAAGACTGACAAGGGGCTGTATTCTGTGACTTACAGTGTAGTGTGAAAGGCGGGCAGAGTTAAGGTCATAGGACTGTCCACAATCACACACACGGTGGCTACCATGCAACTAGAAAGTCTGGGGAAGGGTGTTGTTGTTGAGTTCCTTCACTATTCGAACCCAAAAAATGAAAGGAGAGATGCTATTGTTAATGATATCTCACATCTATCCACAGGCTGCTGAAATTTTATTATATGGTTTTTATTACACTAACTAGTGGCCTGGTGCACAGATTTGTGCACATTCAAAGGAAATTAATTAGGAGAAATATTTTAATATTGCTATTTGCCCTTTCTTATAATAGAAGTGTCAGAGATGAAAGAAAATTAGTAAAATGTATATAAAAATAATATATAAATTGATTAATAAACAAACAATAACAACATGATATAACAACAAAGACATGTTATAAAAACAACAAAAACATTATATAAAGACAATATTGACAAAAAACAATGACTGATAAACTGATTAAACTCATTCTAATATCTGCCTATATACCACATTAAGAGCAAAAACACTTTGAGGTCGTGTGGCCTGGAGCAACTGGGGTCACCCTGAACTGCAAACTTCAATGTGATGCTGAGCAAGTTCCTGAGCCCATGCTACCACCAACTGGCCAAGAACTGGATCCCCACAGCGGGCATGTGGGATGACATGGGCACCATGGGGCTAGTGTCGGCCACTGACTGGCAGCTGATTCTGGCCTGGGTGCCCTACATCAATAGCAAGTTTAAGAAGGATGACTAATTAAACTGACCTCCTCACAGCCCTCTGGTGACTGGTGGTGCCAACAGCTTCCTTCTCAGCACCTGCTACATCTGGAACAGCCCCAGCCTTCAGCATGGACCGAGAGGAAATCTACTGTGTGACTTAGGACTTTCTATGTTTCTGAAAATAACTTTGATGTGTTAATGCATTAAACCTTGCTCTGAAACCTGAAAAAAAGAAAAAAAAGAGTAAAAACACTTTGAGAGTGGCTTGACTAATTTCCTTGTGATAAAGTATTTACAACTTTAACTTTAACATCACACGCTCTTTGAACTTGAGAGAAAGCAACCTATAACTGACCATGTCTGAAACGGGTTCAGGTAGGAATATTCCTACTCTGTCTAGAGTTTGTCCTTGTGATTTATTAATAGTCATCACAAATATTGGCATCACAGGAAATTATCTTCAAATTAATTAAAATGGCAGGACAGTGTCAGACGGGGACAAATAAATTCTTGGAATCAGAACAACTTCTCTTTCTGCAGATCCTGTTAATACTTCAGCTTCGATTATGTTAGGTTGCAATCTTTTGCTAATAAATCTAGTATCATTACAAAGACCCCATTTACTATTAAGATTTCTCAGTAGCATGATGATTGCACCTACTTTCAATTTTAATTTATGACATGGCATTTCCAAAGGAGTAATACTATTAAGAAATTTGAAGGGAGCTTTATATGTTTCTTGCATGCATGAGTCAACATTTATTTTTAAATTGCCAGTTTGCATAATATGTACTGGCCGGCTAGTTAGTTGGTCAGACAGTAGTCATTTAGCCTTTTATATATGTAGGCTAGAGGCCTGGTGCATGGATTTGTGCACTGGTGGGGGGCGTGGTCTGTGGGGATAGGCCTGCTGTGGGAGCACCGCTCATTGTGATCAGCCAAGAGGTCCTCCCACTGTGGGAGTGCATTGACCACCAGGGGTCAGCTCCTGTGTTGAGCATCTGCTGCCCTGCTGGTCAGTTTGTGTCATTGCAACTGGTTGACCAGTCATTCTGATAGTTCCACTGTTTGATTGCTGGGCTTTTGGTTACTGTTTTCATCAGTATGAAGGTTCTGTCCTCACTATGCATACTAGTGAAAATGGTAGGTCCTGGAACTCAAGGAGGCCAATTCTGCCTGGGTAGCCTCAGGATGTCACAGTGGCCTCAAATAGTTGCTTTGATTGAGACAACGTTTTTAAAAATTTCTTATGGTTTTGCATAGGCCTGGACTTTAGTTTGAGATACAGACTCAGTTTGTTTCCTTTTCCTGAACTAGAGATTATCATAGTTGTGTTTAATGGTGCCATAGTCATACCTGATCAGACAGATATTAACCATCTTACTTAGGCTTTCCACCCTGCTGAATACTGGGTAAAATATAAAGGAAGTGGAGCCCTAGTCGGTTTGGCTCAGTGGATAGAGCATTGACTTTCAGACTGAAGTATCCCAGCTTTGATTCTGGTCAAGGGCATGTACCTAGATTGCAGGCTTCTCCCTGGCCCAACCTCAGCCCAGGAAGCAACAATTGATGTGCTTCTCTCACATTGATATTTCTCTCTGTTTTTCCTTCTCTCTTCCACTCTCTCTAAAAACCAATGGAAAATGTCCTCGGATGATTATTAAAAGTAAATAAAAACAAATAAACAAACAAACAAACATATGAAGGGGAAGCGCCACTCCTGTCCTCAATGACATTTTAATTTTGATTAAAGAGGAAAACAAAGAGTACTTGCTAAGATTGATTGCTCTTTTAAGGATTTAGATCACATGTAGAAAAATGGAGTTAATTGAAACATGAGAAAACTCATGAAGTTCTACTGACAAAATTATTTCAACATTTATAGGTCTGAATGCTTGACATTTGGATTTGAGCCTAACTGAATGGTTGTGAACAGAGAATGATGATTAATAACTATTTCTCCAAAGAGGTTGAAATATTTAGGAGAAATGAAACAAAGCTTTTAAAAAATTTTAACACATTTACTAATAGACTAGACAAGAGGATAAATAATATGTGCTACAGATCAGCCAGCATGGCCTCAGTGGTTGGGTGTTGACCAATAAAAGAGGAGATCTCAGTTTGATTCTCTGTCAGGGCACATGCTTGGGTTGTGGGCTCGATCCCTAGTGGGGGGTGTGCAGGAGGCATCCAATCAGTGATTCTCTCTCATCATTGATGTTTGTTTCTATCTCTCCCTCTCCTTTCCTCTCTAAAATCAATAAAAAATACTTAAAAAATTTATATGTTCTACAAGCAGTCATCGAAACCCATTCACGATAATGAAAAGTAAATGGTGCTGGGTTTTCTCTAGGTCACCAAAGGGAAGTCATTTGATGTCTTTGACCTCAGGTAAAACTTTTTAATTATTGAAATCTTATTATTTCCATGCATTTGCTAAGAGGTTTACATATGTCATATCATTTAGTTCTTACTATAATCCTGTGAGGCAGATGCTATTATAATCTACAGTTAATCCTAAAGAAATGAAAACTCAGAGAGGTAAATAAACTTGCTCAAATATGTTCAGCTACTAAGCTGACAAATCCAGAGTTCAAACCCTTGAGTCTCTGACTCCAAAGCTAATACCTTTATGTACTCCTCTATCTATTTTATGAAGATGGTGGGTGGGAGTAATGTGGAATTTTTGCATGCAGCAAGCTTCAGAAATGGAATTCCAAAATTATTGCCAATGAAGATTTAATGTAACTTATTTGGAGGTGACTAAAGCTGTTTCTCTGGTCAGCATTAGCTTCCTTGCAAACAACCCCCAGATATAGGTGTTAAAGCTGATGCCTTGCACTCAGCCAGATGTGTTAGATGGAGGGGACTCAGCTTCAGAAGTAGAAACAGTGATGGATTGAGGACGATGGTGGTTCAGTGATGAACTGTTTAGCCAGCCACCTCTCCTCTTGTGCCCTGTGGTCTTTTCAACTAAATCTTTGGCCAGAAGTATTCTCATCCCCTGGTATTCTTAATTCAGTGGAGTATTTCATGAACTTCAGAGTTAGAGGCATAATCAACATGTCACAAAATAGGTTCCTTCCTTCAGAGACTATGGACTGGTTTATTTATCTTTGGATTCAGTGGATTAAGTACTGTTCAAATAGTTCCTTAGATCCCCCCCCCCCCCCCCAATTCTGTGCTTCTCTCTCTCTCTTTGCCCTTTTAATTGTTCTGTCATACCCTCGAATGTATTCCTTTCTCCTTCTCTTTGTTCTGGCCTTCTTTCCCAGTGACCTCTGAGAAATGGTGTTGAGTGATTTTGTCTGCACCATCTCATAACCCAGGACCTGTACTGAGCTGATTCCCTCGTGGCTTCTTGAGTGAAGACGTGCTGCTAATGCGAAGTATACGCACTGGTGTTTGACTAGGCTTCCAGTCTGCATACTTGAAACAAGCAGTCCTTGGGCTCTTATGGTTCACGCTGGTATTCAGGGGTGAATACAAATCAGACCTTCATATTCTTCAAGAGGTGTCAGCATTCATGAAAGTTGAATATGAGTGAGCGACTCTTATTTTTATAATTTCATTTAAATCATATAATTTATTACCATAAATTTACATGTTACTCTACTGCAGATTAAGCCACACCAGGCTGATATCCAAGCACAATATCCCTTGTGAATATTATTCTTTTCATAGAGGCTCTTAGGAGGGACATAGATGGTGTTTTACATTTCAAGAAGTAATTTATTTTCAGAGCATTCAGGGACTTAACCACTGTGATTATTTGCCCAGTCTTCCCAAGATTCCAGAGAGCAGGCCATGTTCAGCTGGATGGGATAGTGCAGTTCATTTATTTATTCAGTGCATACTTAGTGAATGCCTCCCTGTTCCAGGCCCTGCTGAGTGTTAGACTTGTGCGGAGAGTGGGATTGGATCAGATCGATGCTTTGACTGTAGAATGTGTCACTTGACTCTACACCAAAGAGCCCAGGTGTCCAGAAGTAAAACCACTTAGCAATTGACACAAGGGAAAATTTCTTTTCATGAAGTGGCAGATTGGACACTGGAAAGAGAGACTGATGACTGAAGTAAAACAGTCCCCCCTCTTTTCCCCCCTCACCCCCCTCCCGGGACTGCTGCTGCTTTAGGGTCTGCCTGCCTCAGGGAGCCTGCTCAGGGTAACCTCCTACCTCTTAGAACTGGAGGTTCTGCAGGTGCCACCACCCAGAGGGCCACAAGAGGGTGCTTTCCTCCTTTCAGGTTATGGCTTTTTGAAATGCAGTTCCTCTTTCAGATCCAAGTTTCTGGGCCCAAGGAAATTCAGTATATTCAGCTGTGGGCCAACCAACTTGATTCTAGGGGAGAGAAAGGTGTAATTTTATAAGCATATGTTTATTTATCTAATGTCTATTTTCTCCAGTGAACTGTAAGCTCTGAGAACCAGGTCTTCTTGCTCATCCCTCTTTCTTTGACTGGCTTAAAGTCTGGCACATACAAATAAAAATATTTGTGAATTTAAAGAACTGATCTTTATGCCCTAACTTAAAGCTTTTCTACCCGTCAGAATCACTGGGGTCACCGACCCTGGGATTCTCAGCATCTGGGGCGGGTCTGGGAATGTGATTCTGAAGAGCTCTTGTTATTCCTACTGGAGGACTGTAGTCCAGCTGTCCCAGCTCTGCACACAGCTGTTTTATTTTGCTCCTCTGGCCTTTCAGGCCTGGGGGTTCTTAGCTGCTTGGGTAACAACAGCCTGCTACCAAGATCCCTTCAATCTGCCTTCTTTTCTATAATATATTTTTTTATTGATTTCAAAGAGGAAGGGAAAGAGAGACAGAGATAGAAACATCAATGATGAGAATCATTGATCAACTGCTTCCTGCATGCCCCCTACTGGGGATTGAGGCCACAACCCCAGGCATGTACCCTGACCAGGAATCAAACCATGATCTCCTGGTTCATATGTCCATGCTCAACCACTGAGCGACACCAACTGGGCTTTTTTCTTTTTTTTTTTTTTTAAATTTAAAAGAGGAACAGCCATTCCTGGAGCTTTGGTTTCTTGTTTATTTATGTATTTACTAGTGGCCAGGTGCACAAAATTTGTGGATTGGAGGGGGGGTTCCCCTCAGCCCAGCCTGCATCCTCTCAAATCAGGGTCCCCTTTGGGAATGTCTGACTGCCGGTTTAGGCCCGATCCCACAGTCGGACATCCCTCTTACAATCTGGGACTGCTGGCTCCTA